TTCTCTGGGCCGGCGCCGTGGCAGCAGCGAGGCCGGGGGAAGGCCGCTCGCGACGCTGGAGCTGACACACGACCCTCCTGTTTCCTTCTCAGCCGGGGTCTGAACGGCGAGGTTAAAAATAGCGCCCGGGCCGGCGTCACTGGGTGGGATTGATCGCTTCCTGGGCTGACCTTGTGTCCTCGCGGCCCTGCCCCTCCCGGCCCCTCTCCGCCTCCTGTTTGTTTTGGCGCTTTTCTGGGATCCACAACCCCTCCCTCCCGCTGCCCCCACGGAGAGGGGCCTGGAAAGGTTAGGCCAGCGGGACTCCGAGCCCTGGGAAGTCTGAGTCACTGCCCTGCGCCGGGCGCCATCCAGAGCGGGAGAGGCCACCGGGCTGGGGGTGAAGTGAAGGCTAAACGGGGCTTGACTCTCCCGAAACATCAGGGTCCCAGGACTAACATTCCCCTTGGCGGGAGAGAGCGGAGCGCGGGGCCCTTGTGTGCCGGGGGCTGCATTTCCACAGAGCGGGAGACAACACCCCCTCACGGCCCGGGGCTGCCTGTTCCGCCAGGGACGGTGATTGTTGCATGGGACGGTATCCCCGGCAGCGTTCCCTGCAAGCTGAGTGCTTGGGCGGCCGCCCCGGACAGAGTCAAAGGCCACCCAGCTGATTAGCAGAGTGCCCCCAGCGCATGTGCAAGTGGTGCACATCTGGGCTTGATTTGGTGCACAGAACAAAACTTATTCCACACAGGGATAGCAACATTTGAGGGAGCGCAGGGGTCGCTTTCCAAGAGCAGCGTGGACCCCGTGGCATGGGCTAGCCAAGCCGGAGATCCTGGATACACGCTCGGGCTGCTGAGGAGTGCTCCCACGTCTACGCTGCTCCTGGAATCGTGGATTCAAGCCTCCCTGTGCTTCAAGAGCCCCAATGTGTGCCACGTAAATGTGCCCCACGAGGTTCCATTCCCACCCCATTTCACAGGTGAGGATCCAAGACACACAGCCCACGTCGACACTGCGAGCACCCCCCACTCTCCGGGCCAGCGAGGCTTGGAGCCTGGCACCCAAATGGCTCCGCTGCTTTTTTTAGTTCCACCGCACGAGCCGAGTTGACTGGGCACCGTCTCCTCCTCTCCCTCCTGCTTCCCCATGCTTGATCTTCCAGGGCAGCCCAAGGAGTAAGACTCAGGGCAGGCTGTCAAGCAGTTCCCACGGGCGCTTTGATCCATGGATCCCACCCTCTCATTTTCCGTGGGACAGCCCCTCCCATGGGGCAAACTGTGAGCTCAAACTGTCCCTTGGCTCCTGAGCTGTGTACGTGCAGGATGCTGTTCAGCCTCTGCATGTCTCTGTGGGTGGTAGAGGGTTCCAGACAAGGTGCGGTCCCTGGTTAACAACAGAGACCAAAGGTGGGACATGAGCTGTGTGGAAGCCTATTTGCGGTTGGTTTTTTTACTAACCCCCTCCTGTCATGGGCAGACCAGGATTCCAGTGCCCCTCCCTGTCTGACTGTGACCATTCTCGCTCATTAAGACATTGCTACAGGGTGTCTGAAAAGCCTTTAGGTGGTGGAGTGGATAGGGCACAGGACTGGGAGTGAAGCGATCTGGGTTTCCGTCTTAGCTCTGCCG